CTGTTGGTCCGAGCTGTGCTGGCTCAGTTGCTGTTTCATTTTGCACCACAGACTCTCTCCCTAAGGCTCCCTAAGGTGCTTGGTCACCTCCATCAGTGCCAAAGGGAGGGGTCACCAGGCTCGTAATCAGTCTGCCCCACTCTTCCAAAACAAGTCAGTCCTGCCCACCCCTGATAAGAGCTGGCTTTGGAGAGAAGAGGCTCCAGAGACCGGCTGTGGCCAACACGGACAGCCCCCCTGCAGCTCCACAGACCCACGGGGCCATCAAGGCTGTGAAATCAAGATCCAAGTCCCAACCAGGGCATGGCATTGCTGCAAACCCAGCCCCAGGGCAGCAGGAGCTCTACGGCCCCTCTGCTACAATTGTCCTGCACGGGACTTTTTCCTCTTCTCCTCCCACCATCTCAATTGCTTACGAGGGATGAGAATAAGGAAGGGAGATAGTAGTAAAATTAAACACAGCGCCACAAAGAAACCCCCAAGACACTGTGGTGTAGGCATGCACTGGGTATTTGATGGTGAAGGCACGTAGTATTGAGGAAAGCATCCATACCTGCCAAGTGTTCCTCCGGAACAGAAGAGTCCTTTCAGAAAAAAAAAAAATAAAAATAAAAAAAATCCCTTACTATTCCTTGATAGGAACAAAAAAAAAATAATCAATTGCTCTTTAACTGCTCCCTAACACGATGCACTTTTTGGATGCTATTGGTCACAAGAGCTATAAATACTGCATGTTTGTTAGCATGCTAGACACCAACTAGGAAAAAGAATCCCCAAACCAAACAAAAGAAAACACAACCTTAACTTCAAGTCAAAGGAATTATTCACATACTTAAAATGCTTTCTTCCTATGAACCATTTCGAACCTTGGCCATCGTCCCAAAACCTCTTTGCATGCTTAATTCACAATTCTTGCAAAACAAACAAACAAACAAACAAAGCTCCACCGCGTAAGGAAATGTTTTCTAAAATGTAATTTAAACAAAGGAATGAGAAAACATCCACTAAGTATGAAACTAATTCTGAATTCCCATCTGCAGCTGATGGCACCTTTCCAGCCTGCCCCCTCGACCAGAAGTGCTCTCACAAACGCCCAGCACTGGTCCTGCAAGAAGGATGTTCTCAAAGCCAGTTCTGCTCAAGGGAGCTCCCCAAGCGATACATAAGCCCAGGCCCAGGACTAAGAGAAATGACTTCAGGATTGCTCTAATACAGCCGTGTCTGCTCCAAAATGCCCAATGACCTCATCTTCACTACGTTTTCTATGGCGTCCCTCATGCCTGAAGCAGAGGGGACTGGGGAGAGCAGAACACCAGCAGCTTTTGAATCGCACGCTTCAGCTTTCTGGAACAGTCATTAGTGCAGCTCGAGTCGCCGAGAGGAAAGGGTTTGCAGGTGGGAAGTGTTAATGTTATCATATAAACACACACGTGCTGGAGACCGGAGGCAGGCAGGCAGTAGCACAGCGTAAAAAGTAGGTTCCCTCAGAAAATAGACGCTTCATCCATTTAATCTTTAGCATTTTGTTTTACTCTCTTTCTTGCAGAAAAGAGTGGAAAATTCCTATTTCAAACATGGCTGTCACTCAAAAATGCCTGCACGCACATACCCAGATGAACATCCCTGTTTTGCCTCATAAGAAAAAACCACCATGGTCGCTCTTTATGTACTCTGCACACAGATATTTTTTAGATACACAGCGAGTTTGTGGCTCCACACAATACCATGGGAGTTGGTCCACAAACCCAGGGCAAATCCCGCTCCCACTCGACTTGCCCACCCGGCACACACTGCCAGCATCACAGCCAGGCCCCGGCAGTGTGGGCAGGACACGTACCCACCCACCGGTGGAGCAAAGCCTGCGTGGAAGGCACAGCACCCCCCCTGCAACCTGGGGAACTCAGGAGCTGCTAGTAACTCGGTTTGACATCCTTGTTCCCAAGGTAACATCGGGACTTCCATGTCTGGCAGTCAGCTCTGATGGAGCCAGGCCTTAGCATTGGAGTGATGCAAAAGGCTTTCCAAAGATGCTGTGAAGCTAAAGCCCAAGCTCCAGCCTCAGGAGACACCTTCAGAATTTAGGCCCTATGTTTAAATGCAGAGCTTACAGTTTTGGTTTTTGTTTTGGTTTTTTGTTTATATTACCAGTATGTTCTGCCATCCATCACATCCAGTTTAAACACCAGCCCCCGTCCCCCCAAGGCCTCCTTCCACAGCCATAACCAGGGCTTTGACAGCCCAGAAGCTCCCTGAGAGCCTCCCGGATGGGTTATGGATGCGAAAAGCCAAGTCTCCAGCCGAGCAGACACTGACCTACTTGGGGCTGTGAGTCAGCTTAAAAACCTCGGCGCACCCCTGAGCCGGGAAACGAGAAGAGAAAAAAAAAAACCACCGTCAAACTTCCGAGCCGCCAGCGGGGCTGAACCCCGCCGCCACCCCCAGGGCCGGCTGCCCCCTGCGGCTCCCGGTTCTCCGGGGGCACAGCACGGCCCCCAACCCCGCGTCTCCGCTGCACCGGCGCGGGGGGGGAACACCGCACACCGCCCCCGGCCAGGTCCCAGCTTCAAGGGGGTCACCGCACAGACCCCAGCCCCGCTGCGAGGGGACATCCCCACCGCACCCCACGCTGCCCGGGGGACGCGGCCCGGCCCCCCCGCACCCCGGCCCGGCGGCGGCAGAGGAGGCGCTGCCCGTCCCCGCGGGTCCTACCGGGGTGCAGTCCCGGCCGCCCGCCCCACGTACCGGCTCGGAGCAGGGCGCCAGCTCCCAGGGCGGCCAGGGCGGTGCCGAGGCTCCGCCAGCCCCCGCCGAGCATGGTGCGACGCGCCCCGCCCGGTGCCC